GAGGGGCAAAGAACCTCTGTCCTAATTTTGGGCAAGTGCTGACATATCAAACAGAAATTTCCTATTTTAACAAAGGCAAAAATAATAACAACAATAATTTAAAAAATCAAAGTCCCAGCTAACTTCACAAACAAAAGATCTGCAAAACCAGAGACAATCTGGAGGGTTTGACTCCAACAGAAGCTTGTGATAATCTATAGCTTTGTGTGCTTTTCTTCTTCCCTTAATATTTGTTAAAAAACATTTTTAAAAAGATCTAATTTTTCTTCACAAATTGAGACCTTATCATTTAGAAAACTTCAAACCAGGATATTTTGATAATTGTAAACCTTATTTCACAAACGTTTTTCAAATAAACAGCCATCAAAGCTCACTGTTGCACAAAGAAATCAGTGTCACTCAACCAGTCTGTTTCTGGCAAGGAAAAAAAAAAAAAGAAGATTAATTCAAAAAGTTCCAGCTGTCCCAGAACCCCAGACAGGGCTGGCTTTTTAGTGTAACCCAAACAGTTTTACAGTTTTCAGCAAAGCCATTTTCAGTTTTGTAAGTAAATCGGCTTGCGTTTTCTACCTCATCTAGCCCGAGACTACACATAAGCTGTCCGAGTGGCGAGGAGGGGGCTGCCTCCCGCGGGGCTGGGCTCCCGCTGGCGCCATGCCGAGTCAGCAGCCTTGTTTTAAGCTTTTTTTTGGCGTGTTGGTTAATTAGGAGCACATTCAAAAATACTGGTCTACAGTCCCAGTGAGGTAATTAAAATGATTCTATACATGGGTGTTTGTGGGGTCAAAGATCTCTTTATGATTAATTATAAAAACCATATTAGAGGATACATACACCCGCATGGGTCTTCCGCCAGCAAATACCATATACAGGTGACTCTCACAGATGCTGTTGCAAGAAAAATAGCATTAAACATACAACGAATGCCCCATAGATTGGATAACACAGCTCAGGAAAAGCTACATGTGGTCTTTACAAGTACTCACGTAGAAATCTGGGCATGCAAGTACTGCAAGGGGCCAAACGTGCTGGCCTGGACCCAGGAAAAAAGCACAACTGCAGGCTCCATTCAAGGCAGGAGGCTCCAGCAAAGACCCTTCAGCTTTTCCCTGGGCCCATCCCTCTGCAGAGATAAACCAACTGATCCTCATTTGGATGACTCATGTGCTTAACTAATTGGCTAAATGGGGGCCAGACCCCTGGTTCCCTCCTGCCCACATAGTTTGTTGAGCTGGGACCAAACCCAGACAACCGCAGCCCATCCAGCTGGGCTTCGTCTCTTCCAGCTCTGCACAGATGTTTAATACTCTTGCTCGTGTAAAGACGGTGCTTCCCCCCCCCACCAAGACATTGCTTCCCAAAGCTCAGCATAGCTATAGCCAACCCAACGTGATTGATAGCTCTTGGTCCCTGGCAGCGTTGCGGGCGATAGAGCTGTGCACGACCACGGTGCGCTCTCCTGCGATGCCCGTGTGCCCTCCGCTGTGGGTGTCACACGGGCTTCCCCCCTCCAGCCCAAGTTCACTCTACCTTGGTCTATATTTTCTAGATAAAGGCAAACAGCGGAAAAACATTTTTTTCTAACTCCCGTTTCACGTTTGAGATTCGCTGTATTTTGAGATCCAGGGAAGGGGCAAATGGCTTTCAAGGCATCTTAATACAATTTTATTCCTGTTCCCAAATAGGCATAATAGGAAAAATTAAATCAGCCTTCAATGTGGTATGGATGGCCCCAAGATATGACTGAGGTGATGTTGGTCTACATAACATATCATTATGTGTCATCATTTCATGTCATTGCTTATTGATTTAATTCCATCATATTTCAGGCAATTTTTATTGTCTAGGTACAGATCATCATATTAATAACTGGAAGCACATATGCAGATACAAAAACACCTCCTGCCACTAAACCAATTTTTAAAATGAATCCATGAGAAATATTTTAACAGAAACCCGTTCCAGAAGCAATTGTTCCAGGGACAAGAAAGACCGGACGACTATTCTATTTTTCTGGTTCCAATGTTACATATATTGTTATTTCATATCAAGATTTCTTTTTTTCTTTTGGTCTTCTTTTTTAACAGGAAAGATTGATAAGAAAAGGAGGAAGTCAACAGTTTTGAGAACAAGGTGTAGCTAAATATTGTATCTAAACACATGCCCTCGAATGTGCCTTATCACACATTCAACTTCGCTGGAGAACATTTTGGAATATGAACTGAATAATGTGGATATTATAAAATGGCTGTCTTGGAATTAAATTTTACGATATTGATGTGTCATAATAATAAAATAGAAAAGACTTTTAATATCAACAGTGAGCTCTATCATCTTTTTATTATTATTATTATTTTGTGGTTGGTGCTTTTTCCTACGCAGAAACCTTGAAAACAAAAACATACACTGCAACAAACTGTAAACCATTAAAGATTTGTACACAGCAATGCCTCCTGAAGGAGTAAGCCCTAAGCCCAGCATTATCTTTGTAGACAAAGTTGGTCATGTATTAAATAATTAGCTTAATCTTAGCTCCTGAAAATCTCTCTGTGGTATGAAACAGAATTCAAACAAAAGACTTCTGTGAAATTTATCTTGGGAAAAAATACAAGGTATTTTATTTTAGCAGGTTTTTTGGCTGTCTTTTAAAGATATCTCCAAAAATGTGTGGGTTTTGAATTTATTTATTTTCCTGTGGTTTATCTTTTTTTTTTTTTTTTTTGGCTTATCATCTCTCTGTCACTGCAGATGTTTCTCTCTGTTCAGTCACACATCGGGCTGCAGGATGGAAACTCCCTCATCACCATAAATTTTCAGCCCGATCCCGCAAGAATAGATTTTGGATAAAGCAGGCTGTTCACATGCTAGCTTAGCAAGCTCCCCAGCAATGCTACACCCAGAGGACCCAGCTTCCAGGAGCACTATCAAACACTGGGTATCAAAGGCTCCAGGTATTTTGTCACCCAGAGCCCACACGGCAGCCTGGCCCCCAGGGCCATGTCAGGGGGTCCCTGCCAGCGGCTCGCGGCTCGCCACCCTTCTCAGTCCTCTCCTCCAACATCCTTTATCCGGTAATTCTCAGTGCTGGAAGGAAAGACGAGTCTGAAGCCAACCCAGCTTCCCTGGCTGTAAGGCTGGGACTCCCCCAAGGAAGCTGACGGGAGTTTTCCCACCGGTTTGATTTTCCTCTGAGAAAGGCTTGTCTAGCTGGGGACGATGTCCCCAAACAAGGCTGAGCATGAACGGAAAACGGGGTCCCTAGAATAAATCCCTACAAGGTTGTCTCTTGCACATTTATTTATATTGAAATGTCCCTTTCCAAGTTTCAGACACAAGTATCTCTGTAGCTCCCCAGCCCAGGCAAGACCCCACTCCAAGGTCTTATTCAAGAAATTATTCAACGTAAGTTTAAGGCCAAGTCCCCCTGCAAATCTTACCGCCCCCAGCAAGGTCCCCAGAAGAGCTTTGATTAAGGCAGGTGCTAAATGCACTGCTGGGCTGAAGCCTGAAAATGTTTACAGGACCAGGGATTAAAATACAGCAAATTACCTTTGGAGTTTCTGAAGCCAAGTGGACCTAAGCAAAGTCAAATGGAAACACTAACTCTATTTTCATTTAAAAATAATAGCAGAGGCTTCAGCAGTAGCTGTGATACACTGTCTCCTCTCAAGGAACTAATAGACAGGGAAGAGCAAGGCTTTAAATGATTTATTCAGTACCCTGGAGATTTTTGTTTTTATTTTTTTTTGTTTCCACATAAATTACACAAGCACTTTATAAAATGAATACACATAAAACACCTTATAAGTGCATAACTTAAAAAAACCCAAATGAACGAATGACTTTAAAAATCTCACTGAAAATAGGTTTTCTGATTGCTTGTTTGTACTAGCTGCTTGAACTGGCAGTGCTGTTTTAGATTATAAGTAACTGAAAAATATATACTGTTTATATATATATATATCTATATATTCCTGGCATTTGCTATAAGAAGTGCTTTGTTTAATTGTGTCTCATTCCCTTGGTACAATTAAAGAAACAACTAAGTTAAACGGTTGAGAGTGAAATCGATTGTTTGCCATCAGGAACTGCCTTCTAAAGAGAAACAGGTAAAGTAAAACATTGGACAACATTTTGCAAATTATATGGAAATAATCCACGGAAAGAAACTGCATTACCCCTGCAAACTGCCATCAAGGTCTTCTCGTTATTAAAATACACGCTGATGGGCATGGTGTCCATGGCAGCCAGGGACAGTTTGGGTTCTTCATACAATTGAGATATCATATTTACCGTCCTCAGGAGTCTGTCAGATCCTTCTCTTATTCCCCCCTTGCAAGAAAAAATTAATGAAAAAGGGGAGGAGAGACGGCGAGGTGAGATCCGAAGGGTTCCCATCTGGTGCAAGCAGAAATTGCTGCTGTTTCCTCCATTTGTTGCATCCCCAAACGTCTCCGGCGTAGATGGCCCAAGGAGGCTCACGGCAGGCACGCGCTTTCCAAGGAGCCTCCTCCTTTTGTTTCAAGCCATCAGTCCTAAGTATACATATATATATATATATACACACTTTATATATATATATATGGATATATAAGGGTGACTCCAGGCTTTGCACTGACGCCAGCAGAATCCAAAAGAAGTTTTCTCTCCCTCAGCTGGGCGAACGCCGGCGGCCGTGTCTGTCAGGGCTGGGCTTTTGTCTGGCAGCACGTCAGCAAGTTCACGGTCAGCACCAGAGACTTTCAAGAGAACAAAAGGGCTGGTGGGAGGCGAGACACCACCGCTGCTCCGGCAACCCCATGGGCGGGGAGAGTTTTTGGGGTGGTTTCCCTTCCTTTCAGTCCTTGTGGAGGGTTTACCCAGCCAGACTCGTGGGATGCATGTGTGGCCAGAGGATTGCAGGGTGCCAGCCTTCCCTGGGGAGAAACAGGGATGCCACGTGTCCCCTCAGGGACGGCCCTGCCAGCAGAAGGTGCACTTGCCGCCGGCGGGTGCCAGCCTTATTCACAAGCAGAGGCGACGGTGGTGACACTGGTGATCTTGGTGGAGTCATCAGACCAAGGCTGGAGGTTCTGGAGGGCGAAGAGAGAGGAGTTGTGGACACAGATGGGGTCAGCTTGGATGGGCTGGTTGATGGTTTTTTGGAAGGCCTCCTGCTGCAGCTGCATGAGGATGCGGTTTGCTTGCTGCCGCTCGGCCTCCCGCTCCTCCGCCGTCTGCCGCCTAGGAGAGAAGGAGCGGTTAGGGGGCTCTGGGGAAACAAAGAAGGGGTATCTCTGAAGAGAATAGGTTGGGCTAGGTGCTTGGGGCTGGGGGAGTTAGGAAAAGAGGGTGCCTAGCCACTACCTGGTCCCACATCCCCTGCATAAACTGTCAGTAAATCCCATAAACCCCAGTAAAGCCCTAGGGACTGGAGCTGTCTATCTTACTGGCCCCCATGAAAATTGCTCCCATCAAAGAGAGCCGGGAGCAGGCCACAGCTCTGGTTTATTTTCTGCCCGTGGGAAAAACCCAAACAGAGCCAAAACACGCAAAGGGGCACACAACAGGGTTGCAAAACATGCAACTCCCTGGAAACATGCTCTGTGCTCAGCAGCAAGAGCCAAACGCACAACGTCCCAGCGAGGAGCACGAGGCAGGAGTGGAGTGAGACATCAGTGACTGGCAGTGCCACACAGCTGGGAGGCTGGCAAGGTCACCCTGGGCATCCCTTCCCAGCACCCAGGTCTGTCATCTCTGCTGGGCTGCAGTGGCCAGCTGTCCAGAGACTGGATGAAGGCAACAACACACCATGGCAGGCAGGACAAAAATTAGCAAAATGTCGGCTAAACACTAGAAACACATTTTTAGCAGTGAGGAGAATCAAAGCACAGAGTAAACTGTCTGGGCAGGGTAAAGGAGGATATTTTTAAGAACAGGTTGGACACGCATCTGTCTGGAATGACACCGGCAGAGCTGATCCTGCTGAGGCGGGGATTAGGGGGCCTGCAGGGGTCCTTTCCAGCACTGGTAGGGTCCCTGCTCTGGGCTGTTTAGGAGAAGGGGATGGGATAAGTAGAAACAGCCTGAAGAGTCTTAAATCCACAGTGAAAATCCCACACCACCTCTTGTTTGGATGGTGGATCAGTCTGGAGGCTGCAGCCTACGGTCACCTCTGCTTTTACCAGTGAACGTCACCTGGCACCTCCAGTGGCGATGCTGGGATAACCTGGGGGTAGCTCACAGTGCTGGTCCCAAGATGATCCCCAAAACGCTCCTTCCCTTTCTCACACCCCCAGGCTCAGCTGATGCTCCCTCAGCGGCTTCAGTGGATCAGTGACAGAGGAAACAGCAGCTTTTTAATTTAGCAACGCAGGGGGACACGGGATGTCTCATCTTTGACTGTGGGGATTGGAAGTGGCAGCTCTGAGCTCCATGGTGACACCTCAGAGTGCAGGGCAGGGGGTCCCTGGCTCCCCACCAGCGAAGCAGGCCAGGGCTGGATGTGGGCGATGGGCCTCTGGGGCACCTGAGCCTCCAGGCATGTGTCCAGGGCTCCTGCCCAGGAGCAGGTAGCTCAGGGCTCAGTCCCTGCTCTAATCACTGTGTCAACATCTCATATCAGACATCCCTGGGAGAGGGGGCCCAGGGCAGCACCAGCCCTCCCTACGCAGCCCAAGAGCGGCTCTGTCGCTGCCTCGATGAATATTTAATGACTCCCTGCACAATGAAGAGATGCTCTGGGAGGAGGGAACCCCATGTCCAGGGCAGTTAGGAGCATGGTGGCTGTGAGCACTCGGCTCCCACATATCTCCCTGCTGCGAGCATTCATGTTAGGCTGGGATTTGCAGATTCAAATCTCCCTTGAAGGAATTGAACCTCGATGCCCATGTCTCAAACAAAAGCCCAAATCTGGCAAGGGAATCAAAGAGCCATCTCACTCCAGCTGAGACAGCTGGGCAGGGGGCAGAAGCAAGACTCTCCCACCTTAGCCTGCATTTATTTAAGCAGTCAAATCCCTCAGAGGGCTTAAAGCAACTCTCTTTTCTCAGATACTCCCCACTGCCTAGTTCAGACTGTGCCTGCAAGCGGCTCCTTCTAGCACCCAGCACTCCAAGCACCTCTCAGAGCCCACTGCCCTGTGCAGGGACCCGGGGCAGCAAGCCGGGTGTGCTATAGGCCAGAGGCACCCACAGCTCCATCACAACACCCAACATGCACAGATGCAAGCAAGTAGAGCTTACAAGCCCGCATCCTTCTGACTCAGGCCGGTGGGGATTCTCCCACGTCTAATACTATGGCTGAGGTCAGGCTGCAGCCTTTCCCTTAGGCAGAACCAGGATTTTGTTTCTCTTTACCCAGCTATTTTTTCTGAAACGTATGAATAGGTTTGTATCCTCTGCTCCTCTGCCAAAGGAGGCTGAACTTAGCCAACAGACGCAAGGAGTATTGACAGACAGACGGAGAGCCAGCCAAGCCACATTTGCCTCACTTCCTTAGGAAACCAGGTTAGAAGACATGGCTGACCCTGTTTCGCAGGCCACGGCAGGATTGTTCCTCCTCCAGGACTCTGCTCCTGGCTAACAGAGATCACTCCAGACAGAGACTTCCTGGCACCTGGGGAGCTACTCTTCCATGGGCTCTTTAGGAAGGGAATCGCCGAGTGAGGACTCACCCACACCCTTGGATTCAAGTTCCTTGTCCCTCATTTCTTATCCAACCCCAGCATCAGCAGGCAGTCACCGTCCCATTCACCCTCGGGGAGACCCCCAGGGAAACTCCTACTTTAAAGAAGCTACTGCCTGCCTGCACCAACGCGCCTGGTGCTCAGCATCCAGCTACACCCCCCTTCTCTGACCTGCCAGGGGAGCTGCCCCTCACCCAGTGTGTCATGTCCGGCCCCACTGCAGGGTGCCTGTCCCCAGGATGGGGCAGGGGATGCTCCCAGGACTGGGGTGCCTCCTCCGGAGATCCCCCAGGAAGCTGCAGCCAGAGAAGGGCAGGCTCACAGCACCGGAGCCTGGGAGGCTCCATGTGAGCTCGGCCTCCTCTTCCTCGCCTGCCTGGCTTTAACGGCAGGAGAACAAATACAAGCATTTTGGCAAGGAGGTGCTGTAAACCCCACGGGGGTGAAAATCTTTGTGTGATGCAGAGCCTGATATCCCGGCAGCCCCGGGTGCAGGATCCGGTCCGATCCGTGCTCCCACGCCAGGCTGCGGCTCTGCCCTGGCACTGGAGGGTCCCACAGCCCCCTCAGCCACGCACCGGTGGGTCCAGATCCTGCCTGCCCAGGGACGCTGTGGCTGCCGCTCCCCCCACCCACCCACCAGGCCCCCTGGTGATACCACCTGCACCCACCGCATGGGTGTCCCCCTCCCCGCACCGTGCACACGTGCATTCACCCACGTTGCACGCGTGCACACCTACTCGCACACAGACCCAGTGTGCTCACACAGCACAGACACACGCACACAGCCGTCCGGTTTGCACGCACACTCACACACAGGCACACACTGAGTGTGGGCACAGCCACGTGCACGTGGCCCTCATACAAAAGCATTCACATAGACTGTGCAGAGTTATACACACGTGTCCTGCTTGCACGTGCATGCACACGCGCTGCATACGTGCACAGGCATGTGCACATACGGCCTAGACACACACCCCCCCCCCATCACACACATTCACACCCCCAGGCACCGCACACACACCAAGCAACTGTGCCAGCACACACGCATTCCCACACACGTGTACGCACATTCACACCCACGCGTGACTCCCCCGTGCGATGCACTCACAGGGATCGCACCCCCACATGCGGCCACCAGTGCCCTCCAGCAGAGCTGGTGGCAGCCAGACCTGTTCCCCCGGGGTCCACCGAGCCCCCCCCCGGCCCCTCACCTCCACTTGGTGCGCCGGTTCTGGAACCAGGTCTTCACCTGGGCGTCCGTCATCTTGAGGGCCTTGGCCAGGGCAGCACGCTCGGCCGAGGCCAGGTACTTCTGCCGGTGGAAGCGCTTCTCCAGCTCGCAGATCTGCAGGCGGGTGAAGGAGGTGCGCGGCTTCTTCTTCTTGGGGGGTGTGCGGTTCTGGTAGGGGTGACCTATACGGCGTGTTACAGTGAAGGGTGAGAGGGCCACTGGGGGGGACACGGGAGGACGGGGGGGGGGGGATGAGAGGCAAAGAAGCAAGCAGCGACACATCAGCAGAGGGGCTCCGGCTCCCGGGCGCTGGGCTGGGGACCCCCCCGCTGCGAAGCCGCCGCTTCCCCGCCGACACGGGCTGCAAAAACGCGGCGGCCCCGGCGCCTTCCCCGGGCGCTGCGGACCCCGGCCGGGCACGGCTCGGCTCCGGGCCGGGGCTCCGCGCTTCGTGCAAACGGGGCTCGATTTAATTTCGTTTGGGCGCGGCGGTAACCCCGCCGTTTCCTACGCGAGCAATAACTTCCCGGGCTGAAAACGGGAGTTACGATTCGTTGGGTTTAAGATTTTTTTTTTTTTTTTAAATATATATTTAGTTTTTCTTTTTTTTTCCCCCCCGCCACGAAAAAAAATAATTGGGGAAAACTCACGGCGTGTCTCATCCGGGCCGGGCCAGGAAGGGGCTCCGTGAAATTCAGCCCGGTGCCTACCGGGGAACGGCCCGTTTGTTCGCCCGCGGCCGTGCCCGAGACAAGCGCCATCGGGTTGAAATTAAACGTGAACTTGAAAAAATCGGGCCTCGGTTTCCGCCCCCGAGAAGAGCGAGCTGCAGGAGTGGGAGTTTATTTTTCCCCCGTTGCAATTGCGTTGCTTTTTTTTTTTTTTTGGTTAATAATATTTTATTTTCGTTGTTCAAATTTTTGCTTTGTTAGCGCCGAAAGACGAGCCTAAATACACCTGGAAACGGCGGCAAGTCCGGAAAGCTGCTCCAGCCCGAGCCCGGTTCTACCCGGGGCTGCAAAAAGTCCCTTTTGACGGGGAAAAGGCCGAGTCGAAACCCGCAGCCGGGTAAAACCAGCCCGGTTACGGTACACACGGGAAAAACAGCCCTACGAGCGGCCGGCAACGGGTCGGCCTTCCCGGGCAGGCGAGGGCCGCCGGGTTCCCCTTCTCCCGGGCCGGGCTGTGACTCCGAAATAACCCTCTGCTTTAAAATAAACTTTCCACGGGTGTTGGGATGGGTGGCGGAGCGGTAGGGAGCGGGCAGCCGTGCCCGGGGCTTGCGGAGTTTGCCATCGCGTTTCCTCCCTGCCCGTCCTTCTCGGGCCGCGTCCCGGGGAAAAACAAACCAACAAACAAACGAAAAAAAAAAAAAAAAAAAAAGAAAAAGAAGAAACAAACAAGCATAAAACCCACAAAAATCCCCTCCAACAAACACCGCCCGAACAAAACACAAAACCCCCCAAAAATCGAAACGAAAAAGCCCACCAAAACCGACGCATGTAGAAGGAACAGAATGTGCCTGATTTTTCACCCTTTCTTACTTCTGGCCTCCTCCAGGACCGACCTCCCGGGGCGATCCGGGCCGCTCGCTCCACCCGCGGCCGGATCCTGCTTTCCCCCGCGGGCACCGGCGGCGGGGACGGGAGCGGGGCGGCGGGAGCAGGGAGGGAACGGGGGGTCCCGGTGGCCCAACTCACCTGTGAACCTGTCTTTTGTGTACCGCCTGTTGCTCTCCATCCAGGGAAAGGTGAGCCCCGTGAGACTGTTCATGCCGTTCACCGCCGGCACGGCGGCGGAGAGGGGCTGGTGCACGCCGCCGGCCACCGGGCGATGGGCCGGGACGCGGATCACCCCCCCGGCCGAGCTCAAGGTGTTGCCGTTCATGCTCACCGCCATGTTCACGTTGTAGGAGCCGGGCAGGCCGCCCATGCTGCAAGAGGTGCCGGTGTAGGCGCCGGCCGCGCCGCCGCTCGCCCCGTAGCCACCCGTGACAGTGTTGTAGGCGCTGCCCACGATGCAGCCCAGCCCGTAGTCCGTCGAGTCCTGCAGCCGCGGGTGCGACACCATGCAGCTGCCCGGCTCCGACGTGTTGAGGATCTGGTCGATGCCGAAGCTGATGGGCTCGGCTTGGCCTTGGTGCAGGTGGTGAGCCCCGAGGTGCTCCATGCCGCCTCCCGGCCCCGGCAGCGGAGCCGCGCACAACGCCCCGGGGCACCGGGGCCGGAGCTCCGGCCCGGGCAGGGCAGCACAGCCCCCACCGCCGCGAAACACGGCAACGGTACAGGCCACGGAGCCGCACACAGCTGGGACACGCCGGCTACGAGCTTAGCCCCATAGCACAGCAGCCGCGCACCCCAAAACGCGCCAGCAGAGCCACGCACAACGGGGACACGGCAGCTACGCGCTCAGCCCGAAGAGCCAACAGCAGAGCCATGCGCAACCGAGGCACCGGAGCTAAACAACCCCGCAGCCCCGGGGCACGGCAGCTTCACACTCGCCACGCACACGCACTCGCTGTACCCCGCAGCCTCCAGAAGCGGAGACGCGACACCCCCCCCCCCCCCACGCACACCGGTCCCGCTCCGATGAGACCCAGGACCCCCACGCCACTAAGACACAACCACCCCAAACCAGGAGCCGCTCACCCAAGACACACACGCACACACACACACAAAGGTGCCCCGGGGACCCCTCGCCGCCGCGGGCAGTGGGGAGCCGAGAGCCCCGCGGAGCGGCGCGGAGCGCGGCCGCGGCGGAGTGCGAGTGCGAGCGCCCCGCTTGCCCATCAATCACGCTACCCACGGCCTGCTGCTCCCGGGCCCTCACTCTCCATTGGCTGGATGCTGAAAGGAGCCGAGTGAATGACAGCAGAGAAGAGCACACGAGAAAAGGAGTTTCTCCTTCTCCAGCTCCCCCCCCCCCAAAAAAAAAAAAAAAAAAAAAAAAAAATCACCACCCGGCTCGGCCTTATAAAGTCAGCGCTGGGTCTGGGCAGGGCATTGGGGTGGGTAAGGAAGCAGCAGGTAGCTGGTGGTGGAGGGGGAACGTTTTGTCCCGGACTTTGTGGCCGTGGGCTGCTGGGAAGGGAGGGTCCTGGCTGCCCACACCCGTGGGGGCGGGGGTGTCGGGCCCGGGGCTACGATCCCCGTGGGCTGCTAGCTGATCCCTTGCAAAGGTTGAAACCGGCGGATCCTCTCCTGGAGGGGTCCCAGACTCGCCGTGCCCCTTTTCTCCGGAGGGGTAGTCTCAATTTCAGACGTCAGGACGTCTCAAAAAGCCGCGGAGGAGGAGGGGGGGGGCTCCCCCATCTCCAGACCCCAGAATAGGGACGGTCAGGAGGCCTCCCACGGGTGCCAAGGCTCGTGGAGGGGATATCATTTGAAGAGGCGATGGGTGCCTGAGGCACACGTTCCCCCGGGACGGGGGCCGGCCCCCGCTGCTCGCCCCGCGGCGGGGTGAGGGCTGAATGGGGCACCCGCTACTGTCGGCCCCGCCGCCCCCCCCCCCGCCTCTGCCCGCAGGCAGATGAGTGTTTTCGTTAAATAAACAGCAAAATAAATAAGTAATTGAAAGCTGCTGCTGTAATTTGCTGCAAAACTTGTTTTGGCCCTGGCCCGTCGGTGCTCCCGCTCCGCGCAGCCGGGAGGGGGGCAGAGCCACCGGTGGGGCGGGGGCACGGTCAGCTCCTGCCCTTCCCCCCTCCGCCACCGGCAAACGCTGCCCTCTAGCTCTTCAGTGGGCCGGTGGTTTGGTGCCCACGGGAAACCGTGGAGGTCCTGCAAGACAGCCTGCTCTGGGGCATCCCCCATGCAATACAAATGCACTGGCATAGAAAGTCGTGCCCAAGCGCTCAGGTGTACCTCCTCGCTCACCCCCATGCATGTCATCTCATCCACACCTTCACACCCACCCACCCACACGGCTTCACCCTCGCAAAGAAGCACACACGCTCACAAACACCCTCGTGAGCTCACAGGCACTGATGCTGCCACTCAGTCCCACACATTCGCTTGCGCGTGCACCTACATTTGTGCCTGGTTATTCACACGCACCCCCCACCACTCTCACAGACACTTACAATCCTCCCTGCACCCACACAAATTCACGCACACACGTTCTCACTCGCACCTTCACAACTGCATGCATTCACACACGCACATTCACTCCCACAACCTGCATTAACACACCCCTATACCCGTGCATTCAGACACCCTCAGGCACACGCACTGATGCACCAGTGCTCGTGGGTTCCTGCCACCCTCACCCCAGCCACAACCCTGCTGTGACACCCCAAGACCCACCACTATCACCGCACCCTCTGCCATGGCCCCACACCGGGGAGGCTGTGGAGGCACAGTGGGCAGCAGCAGCTCATGGCCGCCCCTCAGCCCCATGCCCGGCGGGTACCCTTTGCCCAGCCAGCCTGCTCCCACCCCCCACCCAGCCCTGCCTGGCCGCCGGGGTCGGGTTTCCCCCCCCTCCCCATACCTGCCTCACTTCTTGACTTCTGAACTCTTCAGGGAACTCGCTGGCGCCAGCTCCATCAACCAAAGTCCTTGTGGTTAGGAGGAGCTGGGAGGGGAGGGAGGGAGAGCGGGCTGGGGCCAGCTGGGGCTGGGAGGCTGCCCTCGGGCAGGGGGCCTTCTCATCCCCCAGGGCTGCAGCTGCCTTTGCCCTTCTCCAGCACCAGCTTGGGCTTCTTCTCCAACCCCTTCCCATATTGGGGATGTAGGGCAGCCCCTGCTCGCCAGCGCTGAGCGTGTCGGGTTGTCTCCACAGGGAAGAAGCAAAGCACACCATGCCAGCCCTGCACATTGCCACAGAGTCCCCTGCCAGCCAGCTCTGACATCCAGAGGGACCCAGCTCTGCTGTTAAGATCTGGGAAGTGCCCCCTCTCCAATAAATAACACAGCCATCTGATGCTGCTCCTGCATCCCAAAGGCCCCAGTCAATACTGGGCAAAGCCTTTGGCCTTCCCTACACCAGGGATTCCCCTGGCTGAGCAGATGCCGAGGGCCCCAGAGGGACTGGCCCCAAGAAATCACAAGGTCACCACCAGTGAGCCAAGCTGGCCAATGAGGGTCACAGCTCCCAGCTGCTGAGCCCAAGGTAGGGGCTTTCAGGCAATAAAACCTGCCAGGAGACAGACTACAGGTAAATTGGGTCTTCCTCTGCCCAGCACCCAGTGAGGACAAAGGAGAAGGGCAGGGAAGGCTAGGTCTTCACTGGGATTTAAGACTTCTGGAAGTCAATGTGAATTATTGATGGGTTTTGGGAAGACGCACAGTCCCAGGATTTAATCCCTGCACAAGCCACAAACCTTGCCCTGTTGTCTTGAGAAAGTCATACTGCTCCCAGCACTGGAAGTTTGGGCACTGCACATCTAAGCTCCAGCACAACACCTGGTTTAGATGCTCCAGTTCAAATCGCTCCTGGCCTCTGTTTTCCCTTGGGTCCTCTGGGGCTTGAGCAGTTCTGTAGAGCATGAGATTCTGGAAATATCCTGTCTAATAGGAGCTGGCAATTAATTTATAGCCTTTGCATCCAACTCCCTAATTTGGGGCTAAAGAGGACTCTAGTCCTCTAAGAGAACATGCAGTGCTGCAAGCTCACACATGAGGATAAGTCAGGGCCAGACTTGGTGCTTTCAGGTTCACATCCCAACGGGAGAGTTTACAAGGGTCAGCACCCGCTCCAAGGTGCACCCAGTGATCCTACAAATGGATCCCTGGGGTGGGAGGTAGAGGCACCCCAGTCCAGCCAGTTCTGCCTGGCTGATGCTTGGAGGCAGATCCCCAGCCAGCATTCTCCCACCCGCTGCCAAGGGCTGGATTTCTCCTTCTTTGCTAGGGCTCTGTGTGTCAGGCCCTGCAAAACGATAATGCAGAGATCACACTCTAAGCAGAGCCTGGGAAGACAGGCATTCTCAGATGTTCACCCAAAGAACTATTTAGGGCAGTGGGGTTTCTTTTCCAGCCACAGAAATCCTTTTCTGCAGGAAACATCAAGAAGCTGGATCAGCCCTCTTCGGAGGTGGAAGAAAGGCTCCAGTGCAGGAGCTGACACGCGTATTAAGTTGTTGCAAAATCAGTGCACAGAGCCCAATGACTTTGATCTGTACTTTTCCAGAGCATCTCACTACCCCTGTCAAGCACCCACGGCCACTTACATATTCTTGACAGCCTTGAAACTTCTGTCCCCACCTCACCTGCCCTAAGCGGCTGCTGGAACAGGCTCATTTCCAAAGCAGTGGTTCAATCCTGCCCCAGCTGAGGGTTGGGGGCTCAGTGTATCTGTCCTAGTAGATGGCAATGGAGATGAGGGCCCTTCCCGTGCTGTGTAAGTCTCCTCTCTCCCCTCCCCACGAAGGCCTGGGGATCCTTTCTCAGGTTCTCTCATTGATCGGGTGCATCTGCCAGCACTCTGCCAGCAGAGAGGGGCAGCCCAGCCAGGGCCTGACCTCCACCCTCCACTCCCCTTTTCTTCTGCCTTGATGGCTTTCCAGGGCTCCCCTCACCCACTGAGCTCCTCTACAGCTCAGGGCTCCCGGGACCTCGGCATCCCAAGCTGTCTCCCTGCCTCGCAGCTGCTAGCTGGGAGACTGCTGTGAAATACAAGCCCTCCTGCAGGGACCGGGGACAAAAGTGGCATGTCTGGGACTTTGGCAAGGTCCCAACAAAACACACCGGGCTCGCTCCGAAACCTGCACTTGGAAATCAGTGCTCTCTGGAAACTGTAAATTCCTCCCATTTTCCTAAAAGGAGAGTGAGCGACCTTGCCGCAGCCAGGTGCCCGGTCACTAACACACCCTCACCTCAACACCAAAAGGGCGCACCCCGACTCCTTCCCCTCCTCGCTTCTTAATTCGTTTAATTCGTTGGGCTGGCAGCTTGTGCAGGAGCTGGCCGGGCAGCCGCCGCCGCTCCCCGGCGCGGGGGGACGCGATCCCCGCTGCCGTCGGGGCTCTGGCTCCCAGCGCTGCCGCCGCCCCCCCCCCCCCCTCGAATCATGTCGCAAGTGTCGCAACAGCCGCCGATAGCGAAGCAGGACGACCCCCGCACCAACCCGCTGGCCTCTCGCAGCGGTGCGAGCTTCCCAACGCAAAATCTCGTTTCCCGCAATTCCCACCGAGACCCACGGCGCGCGCAGGGTCCCCGAAGCCCCCC